AAGAGAAGACGAGGAACTTAAACTTATATCATTTTTGGGTTTTCATTTTTTTTTTTTTGTGTTCAAACTTAGATGTTTTTATTTGTATGAATTGGGCCCCTGTAGTTGGAAAAGACATGAGCGGGGGAGGGGGCCCACAGCGAGGGACATTTTTAGAAGCCAACACATCGCTCTTTGTTTGGTTGTCTATCTGTTGACTTGAGGCCTATGAGGGGGAGGGGAGGGGACTTTATCCCGGAAATAAAGTATTTTGATAAAACATTTTCTTTTTGTCTTTCTCGTAATAAATAAATTATCCCCCTTAAGGCTCCGAGGAGACGTGTAAAGCTAATGACAGGTCCACTTTAAGGCTTCGAGGAGACGTGTAAAGCTAATGACAGGTCCACTTTAAGGCAACAAGGAGACATGTAAAGCTAATGACAGGTCCACTTTAAGGCAACAAGGAGACATGTAAAGCTAATGACAGGTCCACTTTAAGGCAACGAGGAGACGTGTAAAGCTAATGACAGGTCCACTTTAAGGCAACAAGGAGACGTGTAAAGCTAATGACAGGTCCACTTTAAGGCTCCGAGGAGACATGTAAAGCTAATGACAGGTCCACTTTAAGGCTCATATGAAAGTGTGCTTCTGAATGTAAAGGGCACCTGAAGGAAAGGAGCGCAGTCATTGGTCGGCAGGTCATGGCACGTCTCCGCCTCCGCACAGTTTCACCCTCCATGCCGGTCGCTCTGTCCTCACTTCTGATTGGTCGATGGAATTGTCAGCATCCTGTGTGAGGACATAATGCAGCAACGAGGGGACCGGTACCCGACACGCCTGAGATGACGTCACACCTGAGATGACGTCACACCTGAGATGACGTCACACCTGAGATGACGTCACACCTGAGATGACGCTTCCTTCCTGTGGGATGCTCCATATTTCATCATCAATGGAACGCTGCGATGGCTGTCATGCTGATCCCCTGGCTTCAGTATTTTAAGGCATTTGACAGAGTGCAGATGAAGGTTTCTGACCCTCACTGGCTACATGCTTGTCAGGCCGCAGACAGGCGGATGGCATTTTCACAACAGCAGAATACAGGTTGGTTCTGGTAATGTGTGCACCTGGCCTTGACCTGCTTGTGAGAGCAACCTCCGATTGAAGCTGCCATGCCCAGAGTTCTCGGGATGTCTGAAGTGATGTCATCTCTAGATCAGGGGTAGCCAAACTCCGGCCCTCCAGCTGTGGTGGAACTACAAATCCCATGAGGCATTGCAAGACTGACAGCCACAGACATGACTGCCGGAGAGAGATGCATCATGGGATTTGTAGTTTCACCGCAGCAGTAGGGGGCCGGAGTTTGGCCACCCCTGATGTAGGGAATGGTGCAGCTTCCCTGGTGTGTAATTATACCTGCAGCCTGGGAGCCAGAGGATGCCAGCTTCAAGCTCGGGCTTCTCACAAAGGTGTGTGTGTATATATATATAACATCTGCTGCAAAAATGCCTTGGGAGCAGCCAATGGAGAGAATCAGTTTATAGCTCCGCCTCCTGCTTTGAAATCCAGAATATGGAGATCCCAGGCAGGAGGCGTGTATGCCCTCACGCACACAATAATCACCTTCAGGGAGGAGGAATGTGGTGCAGGACAGAGACACTATATTGCCAAATGTATTGGGCTCCTCCCCCTCCAGATCATGTGATTCAGGTGTTCCAATCCCCTCCATGGCCCCCGGTGTATAGGATGAGGCACCTCAGCATGCAGATGCTTCTACAGACATTGGTGAGAGAACGGGTCGCTCTCAGGAGCTCAGTGACTACAAGCGTGGCGCAGTGATAGGTTGTCACCTGCGCAATAAGTCCGTCCGTGACATTTCCCGTCTACTAAATATTCCGCCGCGGTCACCTGTTACTGGGATTATAACAAAGTGGCAGCAACTGGGAACAACAGCAACTCAGCCAGGAAGTGGTCGGCCACGTCGCATGACAGAGCGGGGTCAGCGCATGCTGAAGCGCACAGTGCGCAGAAGTCGCCGACCGTCTGCAGAGTCAATAGCTACAGACCTCCAAACTCCATGCGGCCGTCAGATTGGCGCAACAACAGTGCGTAGAGAGCGTCATGGAATGGGTTTCCATGGCCGAGCAGCTGCATCCAAGCCTTACATCACCAAGTGCAAAAAAGACATGGAAGGGGGAGTTTGGGGGGGAGGAACGTGACTGGCCTGCACACCCCATAGAACACCTTTGGGATGAATTAGAGCGGAGACTGCGAGCCCCTCCCCCAACATCAGTACCTGACCTCACAAATGGTCCAACATTCCCATAGACACACCCCTAAACCTTGTGGACGCCTTCCCAGAAGAGGCGGAGCTGTTATAGCGGTAAAGGGCGGAGCCAACCCAATACTGAACCCTACGGACTAAGACCGGGATGCCATTAGAGTTCATGTGCGTGTAAAGGCGTCCCGATACTAATGGCAATATAGTGTGTATATCTTGTACACAATTATCTTGCTGGAGCAGATCAGCACCCATACTGGTGCAGGCCAGTTATCTTCCTGTACTGCACAGCTATCCTGCTGGTGCTCTATAACGGTCTTGCTGGTGCAGGGCAGCTGTCATGTGATGTTGCACACTCGCTGTATGCTGCTCACTCCAAGAAGGTGCTCCGCATTTATATTTACAATGGTGCACACCCACATTAGAGGACTGATATCTACTGACCACCAATGCTGAGTCGTGAGCTTGCTTGGAGAATATATAAAATGCGAGAAGACGTACTCACTGGGTGCTAATAAATGAATCCCTCCCCCCCCCC